TTTGCTGTTCCAGACAAGCACACAGCTAACGTTTGTTATGTTTTGCTGTTCCAGACAAGCATACAGCTAACGTTTGTTATGTTTTGCTGTTCCAGACAAGCATACAGCTAACGTTTGTTAATGTTTTGCTGTTCCAGACAAGCACATGCACAACATGAGCAGCAGCAGAAAGGAGCGCCCAAACCAGCCAACTAGCCGCACCGCTTCCAGGCCTGAAACATCCCGACAGAAAACAGCTTTGCTCCAGGAAAGCTGCAACAGCGTACTTTTGCCTCTTCATGCTGCAAGTGTGGAGTATCCGTGTCGCACCAAGTAGACTTAAGATGCTTAAAGACATCATACCTCTGTCAATACTCCATAAGATTCTGTGTATTATATATAATTGGGAAGCTAATTTATTTGTGGCTTATGATTTTGTAAGAGGTTGAGCACCAAAGCAACTTTTTGAGGAGGTGGTAAAAAAAAGTGAAAATCTTATTATTGATATGTCTGTTGTTTTCAATGATTAGCACAATGTGTTCTATCATTGGAAAGCTTGAATGTATATTTCCAATTAGAATGATACTGCATTTATTATAATCAAGGATACATAATGTTGATAACGTAATAACAGAGGTATGATTGATCAAATTCAATTTCTTAACTTTTGTGCTAAAATTGGCCTAACAACACAGCCCTACAAGGTTGTACCAAATATGTGCTGTACAGCCACACAGCGCTACAAGGTTGTACCAAATGTGTGCTGTACAGCCACACAGCCCTGCAAGGTTGTACCAAAATGTGTGCTGTACAGCCACACAGCCCTGCAAGGTTGTACCAAATGTGTGCTGTACAGCCACACAGCCCTGCAAGGTTGTACCAAATGTGTGCTGTACAGCCACACAGCCCTGCAAGGTTGTACCAAAGTATGTGCTGTACAGCCACACAGCCCTGCAAGGTTGTACCAAATGTGTGCTGTACAGCCACACAGCCCTGCAAGGTTGTACCAAATGTGTGCTGTACAGCACAGCCCTGCAAGGTTGTACCAAATATGTCCTGTACAGCCACACAGCCCTACAAGGTTGTACCAAATATGTGCTGTACAGCCACACAGCCCTGCAAGTTTGTACCAAATGTGTGCTGTACAGCCACACAGTCCTACAAGGTTGTACCAAATGTGTCCTGTACAGCCACACAGCCCTACAAGGTTGTACCAAATATGTGCTGTACAGCCACACAGCCCTACAAGGTTGTACCAAATGTGTCCTGTACAGCCACACAGCCCAACTCACACCGCTCATCCATTACTGATTTAAACTCAATCATAGAGCTCAGACCTGTGGGATCCAAACCCACACAGCTCATTCAATTCGTGTCTTAGTAGTTTTCCAAAGCAAGTGGAACAATAAAATAGCAGAAAAAGAGCAGCAGGTTGTAAGAGCAGGTCTTGTGTAGCCGTCTGCTGTTCTCTTGTGCAAATCTCGTATCGTGTGTCTCGGCAATACAGCAGACCCAGAATGCACCACTGATTGACAGTACAGCAGACCCAGAATGCAACACTGATTGACAGTACGGCAGACCCAGAATGCAACACTGATTGACAGTACGGCAGACCCAGAATGCACCATTGATTGACAGTACGGCAGACCCAGAATGCACCACTGATTTACAGTGCAGCAGACCCAGAATGCACCACTGACTGTGCAGCAGACCCAGAATGCACCACTGATTGACAGTGCAGCAGACCCAGAATGCACCACTGACTGTGCAGCAGACAAGCTTGTAATGGAAACCTTTTCGTCAAGGACTAATCATCATCACGCTATGACAGAGCATCATGGGACTGCTGCATAGCATCATGGGACTCCTGCTTAGCATGACAGGACCGCTGCAAAGCATGATGGGACTCCTGCAAAGCATGATGGGACTGCTAGCTTTAGTTCTGCCCTAGTATAGTGATGGGAGAATGCATGTCAGAAGGAGAAAGGTAATCTTACATGCATGTAACCGCTGTCTGTGGCAATCTTGCATGCATGTAACCGCTGTCTGTGGCAATCTTACATGCATGTAACCGCTGTCTGTGGCAATCTTACATGCATGTAACCGCTGTCTGTGGCAATCTTACATGCATGTAACCGCTGTCTGTGGCAATCTTACATGCATGTAACCGCTGTCTGTGGCAATCTTACATGCATGTAACCACTGTCTGTGAGCCACAATCTTCACATTTAGTCCAAAGGAAAATTGTACATGCAGACTGGGGCTGTGCGTGTTAAATGTTTGCAGATCCGGACAGTATGAAGTGTTGTGAACTGTTTAAGGTAAAATTATTTTCACATCAAGTTGATGTGGCATTTGTGCAGGGAGTGGATGTGATACAACATGCTGGATTTCATGGGCTACTCTGCAAATAATATTAAATGTCTCGTAGATTGACCTGTATATGAAATGACAATTGATGCTGCCAATGTATGATACTAGTATTGATGCAAACATGTTATATTTGGGCCGTTAAAATTATGGGAGGTGGAAGAGTGTCATAATCTGTGGAGGGAAGCTAGGTTTAGTGTAAGGTGGCCAAAATGTGACCAATATCCTGATATTGCCTGGCCTATGGAGAATTGGTGAATTGTGGCATCGCAGAAATATAAAAACACATGTATCATTTTCATGTCTTTGTTATAATCATGATTAATGTTGATGTTTTTGGTGTGTTGCCATGGCAATGCCCCAATCTAGACTGCTAATTGTCTGCAACCAATCAGAGTCAAGCATTGATCGTGGCAACCAATCAGAGTCAAGCACTGATTGCGACTGTTCTCTGTACTTGACCAGTTCTAATCACCATCCCTGTTCTTGTAGTTTGTTTTGGTCAGGAATTTTCTAGTTGTACAAGCCCAACAATGTTCTGTAATTTTAATTCAGCAGTTTAGTTAGAATTAACCGTTACACTCTTCCTTTTTAAAATAAAGATGTACTTTTATTGAAATCATTGTCATTTCATTTTTGACAAGGCGCGAACCCGGCCGGAGGTTCTGGGGTTACAGAATCGGGTTTGACAGCCAGCTACAGATGGCACGTCCTAAGCGCGCCCTCTGGCGGCACATGTTGAAGCTACAGTACATGAGGGAGACCGACTATACTATTCTAAACTGGGGGTGGACGGCTGGATGGATGGATGGATGGATTCACTCTACCGATAAGAAATGAACTGTAACGTGGTCATCAGAGGTCCGTGAACAGATTAAGCCTGAACAGATGATGATTGTTTCTCTAAAAGTCTCCATAAAATGCCATGTTCCAAATAGTTTTAAAACATCTCCCCCCCCCACCACCAGCGAAAATAAGACACGCCATAAAACTAAAACATTTTTGGACAACATCACATTTAATACTAGTATCCAATATCTTAGCTATTTATTTCCGAGAAATAATAATATAAGTCATACGCCACACTGGAATCTGGAATAGATTAATATTTCCATATGTGCGTAATACAGAATCCCAAAGTAAGCAGATTGCCGGGGTGCACCGTTTATACTTTCCTTTTTCCTTTCTTGACAGACAAATGTATGAAACGTCTATCTCAAAAATATATAATATTGTATGATTATTGTATGGATTTCATTTCAAATATTCTGAAAATACCGTCAAATGGCAATAACGTAAAAACATTGTCTGTTGGACTTCACCTGAATAGCAAAATGTAATAGTCCAAACTCCGACGCACCAATTACCATCCACGTACGACAGACCAATCACCATCCACGTTCTATTGCATACAAGTTTTCCCGCCAGAGTTCACATTCCGGAGGTGACAGCCGCTAGCGCTAGTCGTGCATCAGCATTGAGGTAAGAATTTACAATTTTCTGCCGTAGAATTTCATGTTTTACTCGTGTATTACCTGGTATAGAGTACATAGAGAAATCTGTCGTGTGTCCTGGCATATTTTCGCTTGTTTTTAAGGCGTTTCTGACAGGAACTTTGGCGTTAACTTCAGTTTTAGAATTGCTTACTCAGTGACAGGAACTTTGGCGTTAAGTTCAGTTTTAGAATGGGACATAATTTGAATACTCATTGGCAGGAATGTCTACATTGTTCTGTCAGAAATTCCTTCAATTTTCATGAAATGGTACTTATTTTACAAAGACGTTGTTTATTGCGGTCAAAGCATCGTGAAGGTTGAACTTTTCTCTTTATTTCTTAACATTTCCTGTCAGAAATGTTTGAAACGAAAGCCCGGGTCCATCANCGTGCGTAATACAGAATCCCAAAGTAAGCAGATTGCCGGGGTGCACCGTTTATACTTTCCTTTTCCTTTCTTGACAGACAAATGTATGAAACGTCTATCTCAAAAATATATAATATTGTATGATTATTGTATGGATTTCATTTCAAATATTCTGAAAATACCGTCAAATGGCAATAACGTAAAAACATTGTTGGACTTCACCTGAATAGCAAAATGTAATAGTCCAAACTCCGACGCACCAATTACCATCCACGTACGACAGACCAATCACCATCCACGTTCTATTGCATACAAGTTTTCCCGCCAGAGTTCACATTCCGGAGGTGACAGCCGCTAGCGCTAGTCGTGCATCAGCATTGAGGTAAGAATTTACAATTTTCTGCCGTAGAATTTCATGTTTTACTCGTGTATTACCTGGTATAGAGTACATAGAGCAATCTGTCGTGTGTCCTGGCATATTTTCGCTTGTTTTTAAGGCGTTTCTGACAGGAACTTTGGCGTTAACTTCAGTTTTAGAATTGCTTACTCAGTGACAGGAACTTTGGCGTTAAGTTCAGTTTTAGAATGGGACATAATTTGAATACTCATTGGCAGGAATGTCTACATTGTTCTGTCAGAAATTCCCTCAATTTTCATGAAATGGTACTTATTTTACAAAGACGTTGTTTATTGCGGTCAAAGCATCGTGAAGGTTGAACTTTTCTCTTTATTTCTTAACATTTCCTGTCAGAAATGTTTGAAACGAAAGCCCGGGTCCATCAGTATATAGTTGCATACCGCTAAAATGAGTTAGATATTGTCGGTCAAAATTCGAAGAAGAATTAATTTCCACCGGATGTTTACCTCAGAACCTTCAGATAAAATGTTGTGACATCTAGTAGTATCACTTTCAGCTTAGTTTTAGCAGATTTTATCGGGGAAATGTTGAGTAGCGGTCTCACGTAGGAGGTGTCCCTGGGAAACGGGCGGGGTGTCCCGTTAGTTGGCAAAGCATGACACGGAGCACTTGCGTCCGTCAAAATTTTGAAACAAATCAATTTTCCACCTCATGTTTACCTCAGAATCATTGGATAAAATGTTTTGACATCTAGTAGCATCAGTTTTAGGTCGGTTTTAGCAATAGCAGGTTTTATTGAGGAAATGTTGAGAAATGTTGCGTGGCGGGCCAACAGACGGGGCTTAGAAGTAGCCACATGTATAACGTTGGTTACTTTCTCCCCTCATGTTTACCTCAGAATCACCAGACAAAATGTTGTGACATCTAATAGTGGTGCTTTTAGATATTTTTCCTCGGATTTTATGAAGAAAATGTTGAAAAATGACGGCGGCTGACCGTCTGACTGAGCTGTCAATCATCGCTGTTGTCAGCACGTGGCAAGTGTACATGTTGTGTCAGAAGTTGCATTTAATTGTTATGTTCTCAGCAATTTTACCCCGCAATTAGGAGATGAAATGTTGTTACATCTAGTAGTACCACTTTCATGTTGTGCTCTCACAGATTTTCCTCACGATTGTCGAGAAAAGCGTAGCTGAATTAAGTAGCGCCAATGTGTTTTTTCTGGGTTGATTTTTCGGAATCTTACAGAAAAACTAGCATGACATACTCCGTACCGTAGCGTTCAACCTTATGCTTTCGGTGAAATTTGGCGAGGTCCCCGCCTGGATGGAGCCGGACTCACGGTCCTTTCCCGAGGAAATTTTTCTAACGTTGCAAATTCATCGGTTTTGTTTCACTTTAACATGTTCTAATTCATGTTGAGTTTTTTAACTTGCTTATACCTAACTAAATACATGATACAGGTTAGTATAATACTTTGGTTTATTGCAATGCCATAAATTCTCATTTAAAATATACTAATGTTTTTCCTCCATTTTTTTTTACAGATCATCCTTTTGGCCGATGTCACCGTTTCCAGTTTATTTGAAGCAAGCAAGCTCAAAAAAAGAAGACAGCTTGTCAAACAGGTTAGTGTGCTTTCTTGCAATACTGTAAATTCCCATTTGAAGTACGCACCAAGCATATTTGGGTTGTTCAGAGACAATTCTGACCTAAAGCTGAGAAAACTTATTCCCTCTCCAATCTTGAACAAAATATGAACAGAACAAATTCAAATTCATGCTGTTTCTCAATGACTTCTATAGATGTCTTTGCTGGAATTTATAATCATGCAGCTTAGAATGTTTCACTATTTGGCAACCAATATTTTGTAACAATACAAACTTTTTACTTGTTCAATTGTTTCATACGTAAGTGATCACCAGACACTTTTTGTAGTGTTAAAAATAGTGTGTACTTTAATGGGGAAGTTTACAGTTACTAAGTTAAACGTAGGGAACATTTTGGACATATTAAGTGCCTTGTGTTGATCTTTGATAACATTGACTAAAAATACAGGGGTTCTAGCATAGCATTGCAATATGTAGATCAGTAAGACACACACACTTGATCCAAGATTGCTGTAGTCAGAGAGATAACAGTATAATAGATTTGCAGATGAGTATCTATTGATGTTTTGGAAGTCAGGCATCAAAAGCTGTATTAGGTTTAAATTGCAGTCGACTTTCCTAGTCCATTTTGTAAGTGATAAAATGGACATGCAATGATGTAACTATGCACCAGTCTTGCAATGTATGTACGAGAAGTTGTTTTATTCGTCCGTTAGTGAAGTTAAAGTAGCTAGGTAAAAGCCAGAAGACGACACCAGAAGGCACCACAGCGGATACACACTTTAGTGTTTTTGAATAAAGACTATAAGTAGATACTGAAAAATTCCTGAATAAAGTTTGCGGGACTTCAACTCTACGTAAGGAAAAGTGGAGTCCCCCTTTAGGCTTCCTACAACTCACGTTAACTGGAGTAGAGCGGCGATATAGTTGTCAAAATGTAATTACTTTAACTTTCAAGTACTAAATTGAAAGTTTAAGTAATTTTTTTGTTTTTATAAAAATATCCTAGAGCTTTTAGATCCTTTTTATATATCAATGGGTAATTTTCAGAAAAGTAATCTGGTTCTCATGGTAGTTCATGGTACTTTTAGTTTCCAGCATTTGCATAATCACAAGGCACACCAAACTTTTAGCTCATGTCAGGCCAAAGGACTTCATTGAGTCAGACATTGTAAGTTCTGTTGAAAAGAGAAGTTCTTTAGCCTGGCCTTATGATCAGCAAGAGGACTCCTGTTCTTTATGGACCTAGATACCCAGGTGAGCAGCTTTGTTATTTGTTATACTAACCTGCATTCACCATCACCAACCTTGCTGTATTCTTGGGGGGTTAGGGTTCAAGTCAGCGGCAAGGGAATGTCCATTATGGCTTAGGGGCTGGACATTCACTACCTCCCTCACTGCCAGGCCTTAAAACCTGGTAGCTGCTTGGCTTGGACCGAATCCTAGATGTAGCTAACATTATAGGTAACAATTTATGTATAGGTTAGGCCACACCAATTTAATTTGTTGTTTCTCGGATTCACCCTGTCAATTTTTGTCTGATTTGCAAAAAAAATTACGTTCAAAATCAACTACAAAATGTTCAATGAAAGACGTATTAAAGAAAGTGCTTTTCTTCCTAGTTGTTAAAAGTTTTTTAATGTAACATTGGAACTTTGTTTCAATGAAAGTTCAAAATCTATTGTTTTAATTATAAACAAGCCTGGTATGTTCACTCATTTCCAGCTATCATAAGGTGTTTTAGCCTGTTTTTTTTGTTAATTTTTTATTTCGCCCTGTCGCTTCTTAT